GATGTATTTGTGAGTAAAAAGGGATACTTAAACTAAGAGTAGAGCCCCGTATATATAACCAAATAATAGTACAAAGTGACATAAACATCTTTGTGGTCCAGGCAAAATATGAAAGTCATAGTAAAGGTAAAAAAAAAAGGAAAAAGAAACCCTAATAAACTAGACTATACTCCAACAGGAACAACACTGCACTAATACTCTAGCACTTCATGGTAATCTCATTAAAAAGTAATACATATATGAATATGCAACCGTATCAAGAAGGTAAATACCTCAATTTTAGTTGTTCTCATATTTTTCTTAGAAGCAAAAGTCACAACACTGCCTACTATTAATACTAGAGCTATTGCTCCCAAAAACTTTTGAGTTCATATTCTTCAACATCATTTTAATAATAAATGAGAAACACGATATGCCACTTCATAATAAGTATATGCAAACAATTTTTGAATACAACGTATGCAGCAAAAGGGTCCTCAAAGGTATTAAACTCTGCATATGGATTGCTGTAGTCTAGAAACAGATTCCCCCAGTTACCACATTACTCTAGATGAGAAGAGAAGTTGGCGTTCTTTGGGCAGTTTGCCTAATAGCACCCCCCATGGCATATTTGTGATTGATACTTTCCTTAAGATGAGGATTATTCAAAAGAAAGATCGTGGCATTGCTGTTAGCCCCCATAAGGAACAAAACTATAGGACCCCCTTGAAATGGCATCAATCATCACAAGGAAAACTAATGTAAATCATACTAAATGAACCCCCCTGCATAATGAATAAAATCATTCAAGAAAAATTTTGGATTTACTAGTGGATTTCAAGTTTGTCTCGGCCTATTTATTTATCAAATAACTCAACCACATACCAATCTAATGTCCATTCCACAACATTCTAAAAACTAATTATTGAAAAGAACAATCTTCACATTCCTAATAACTCTCATAGTTTTTTTTTGTCACAAATTTATCCTACTTTTTCAGTAGCTTTTTTGACTATTTCCTCTTAAATAACACCTAAATACGTAGTTTATATCGCAGTCACAAGTTTAAAAAGTATGTGATTGGAACAATTATTTGTTATAAATTAAAAAAGAAAAAAAAGTAAAGTTCATGCCAAGTGCAAACTAGAGAGTGTGTAATAGTAACGCCTACTCAAGCTCTATCTAAACATCTACCCAAATAATAGGACAGTGGATAAGTTTCCAGATGTATAAACATTTTACTGAGTGAAGGACAACGAGTTTAGAATTGACGATCTTAAAGTCCAATAAGAGGAGTGGTGGTCATTAGACCAACCCCTAACCTCTATTTTAACAGATTCTAAGGTTGAAAATATAAATTTGAATCAGCGAAGGCAGTTTACATACACACACACACACACACACACACACATATATATATAGGGTACCTATGGAAGAATGCCTCTACGTAAGCTGTTGGAATTTGAGTATGGTGTACTAAAATAGGTATGTTGTATCGAACCACGTTATATTTTTATGTCATATTTATTTATTGCTTTTCTATCTTTGAATTTTTATCTTCCAACAAGTATTATTTGTGTTAAATATCCGATGTGCAAAACCAACATAAGCCATAATTTGTGTCAACGTCTAAACTACCTTTGGAGTCCAATGGAATTGCTTGTCTGTATCTACAACAAACAACAGTTAAAATGTCCTGCAAATAGAATAAGGCTTCACCATGTCGTTTCAAGTCTCCGTGTGTGCTTTAAAAATGACATTTTATATAGGAAAAATCTAATTACAATATCGAAAGTTATAATTTTTTATGGTAAAGTTATATCTGTAAAAGAAAAAATTACAAATGCTCAAGGGAAAGTTATCATGGATTTTCTTTAGACAGTTGTAACTTCTCTCTTATGAATTATAACTTCACATTTAAAAGTTGTAACTTTCAATATTGATAGCAACTTTCCATAATCGATCATACCTTTTATAAGTTGTAACTTACACCTATAAAAAATTATAGCTTGATGATGTGTAAAATAGCTTGATGATGTGTAAAACGCGATTGAGCGTGATAGGTATTCTACGGGATTTGATTTGAGCTACAAGGCTCTTGTGAATAATGTGACAACTTTAGGGGAATGGGGTAGATTGCGTAGATGAGTTATTGTGGTTCATCAGCCCAGGAGCTCGGCTAATTCACTCTTCAAGGGAGTCTCTTGCTCCTAGATATTATATTGAAGATGATGATGGGATGACACAGTCTTCTTGGTATTATATCGATTCCTTTTTCCATAGTGAGGACTTTATACAATATTTATAGCTTAGTTCCTAGTTCCATGGGGTCTGGGGTGAGATCTTCGCCTCCCTCTTGTAACACTTTGCTTGATTTTAGGCGATGGTTTAGGCGGTTGAGGTTCTTGTTCCTAGACTGCCATTTATTGTCGTTGAGGGGGAGTTTAGTGGTTGTCAGCCGTTTTCCACTAATTTTCCTTGAGGCGCAGGTCGAGGGAGCCCAAGGTCTGGACCTCTGAGCTTGGTCTTTCTTGGCTGAGCTCCCTTCCTAACCTCAATACCTAAGCTTAGACTTGGAATTTTTCTAGGTATCATTAGTTGCCCCTTAGTCCCTTGTCAAAGTGGGATTGAGCAGTGGTTGAGCTGTGGTTGGATAAAGTTAGGTTTCCATAGGTCGATCTCGATTTATGCGTGATGGGACTCCATTCTAATGGCTTTGTCGAACGTGCAATCATTCCTTCCTATTTTCTCGCACACGTCCCATATTTCGAAGACCCAAGTACACTAAGCTTTAAATGCTCCCACGACGAGGGAAACCGTCTCACTTCACCTTTTGACTTCTCCCCCCAGGCTTTGCTCTCTCTCTTCCCTTGTAATTTTAGTTTCCTTAATCTGCTGGAGATCTTAGGGATTCGCTAAAAAACATATTCCCCCAATTTGACTCGAAGATTCTGCAAGGTTTGCTCTCCGATTTCCTTTTGGGCTCCAGTTTATCACTCACTCTTGGTTAGGTACGCTTCTTGGCTTTGTTCATTTCTTCGCTCTAGATCCCTCGAATCCGAGGTGGTTGCTATATTTTTGGACCTTTTTCTTTTGCTACTTTAGGAATCGAGGCTACTCCTTTTCCTCTTTTCCCCTCTTCTTGGACCCTTATTCCATTACTAGAGTCTTCCTCATTGGTCGCTGGTGTCTTAACCTCTCGACTCTCACGGATTGTTTTGCTAACGTCTCATTTACTTATTCCTCCTTTTATCTTCATTTTTCCAATCCTGTCATGTCTGGCTCTTTCAAAGCTACTGCTTCATCAGTCTCTCTTGCCAAGGACGAGAGGTCTGCTAGGGAGGAGAACATCGATTTAGGTGATGTAGGCGATGAGATTGATAATTTTCTCAGTGTCTATTCTGTCGATGCTGGGAAAGAATCCAAGGAGCTCCCCCATCATCTTCCCCTATGCCCAAGAAGTCTAGGAAAGAAAAAACCAAAGTGAGTGGTGTTGGGGTTTCTTATAGCATTGGGGGTGCAGTGGTTGCTCCCAAAGCCTCAGATGTCGTGGATTTTAGTGAGGTCACATCCCTTTTCATGAGTGTTTTATCTGCCTGTTATGTCTTTCCTCAAGGAATGCACTATTTAGTGAGGTCACACCTCTAAAGTGCTTACCAAACTTGAGTTTACTCTTCCAGAGGTGAGGATTGAGACCCCTATTCATATTTCTGTAGCTGGTGTAGAAGGACTCACAAGTTGGTATTCTTTCTTTTCCCTCTGGCTTTTCTCTCCTTTATTTTTTGCTCTTACTTACCTGCACACTGTGGTTTTCCAAGTTCTAGCTCGATGGCTCCAGATGTTGAAGTATTGAAGGCGAAGGTTGCCTTGCTGAGGAAGACCATGAGTGGGGAAAAACGCAAGGCCGAGGTCAGATTAGGAAGTGATTTTGCCCCCAAGCCAAGGTGCCAAGGTCAGAAGTGCCTCCGGCTTCTCCCCTTTCTTCCCAAGTGATTCTTGCTCCACCGTAGAGCTCACCAAAGGTCGCACAGACCTTCATTCCTCAAAGGACAGTGCTTTCCTCTCCTGAAGGGGTCTCGAACAAATCATAGTTTCAGCCTCATCGACAGAGGTTGAGGGGGCCATGGAGACGATGGCTCGCATTCTGCCTAAGTCTTCCTCTCCTAGATTGGTTGAAAAGTCTCATCAGCTGCTTCTAAGGAGCTCTAAGGTTGAGAAAGATGAGGGCTTCCTTATTGATAATGTGAAACTTGATGCAGAGGTTATTGCCTCAATCATCCCTGAGTCTAATATCCAAAGGGCTGCCATTATGCCATTCTCCACTTCTGTCACCACGGCTTTGTACGGTGCTACTTTGGTAAGTTTCTGGTTCTTTGAAGTTCCATTTTTGTCTTACGTCGTTACTTCGTGCTGACTTTAGCTTTTGGTTGTATTTGCTTCTAGCTAGCCATTTATGTGAGTGCTTTGGTGAGACGGATCAGAGTTTTGGAGAGCTCAACCAAGGTGTCAAAGGTCTTTGAACTCAAGGTTGTTGAGCTGGCTTTTGCCAATGATGCACTCAAAGCTCAGGTTCAGGACTTGTAAGTAGGCAATCTTCTGTTATTAAGGGCTTGGAGGCCAAGAAAGAGAAAGTAGAGGATGAGGTCAAGAAGACCAAGAAAGAGCTCGGGTTAAAGACTGACAACTTACTTCAAGTTCAGAAAGAAACCCATGAGGCTCTCCAGTCTTTTGAGGCTATGAAGAGAGAATATAATGTCGTGGGCGAGGTAAATGACACTCTGCGGGTAGAGATTAAGGCAGAGAGGGCTGCCATAAAAAAGAAGGATGCCCTAATCACCAAGTTGGAGTATGAAACTGCCACCAATTGGGCTACTAGCTATATCGCTTTTCAAGATCAAGCTATGCAGGCGTACCCAGGCCTAAATTTTGTGTTTGATCCCCCTTCAGATAAGGAGTAGGAGGCTCCAAGAGTTGAGAATGAAGCAAAGGTCTTGGTTTCCCTTGTTTTTGAGCTCGTTCCTATGGGTGCTGAGGTACCACCTTCATCAGCCGAGGTCCCGGCCTCTGTAGGTACTGGGGTGTTTGTTCCACCAGTTAAAGTCCCTTCTCCTACAGCTTCTTCTATTCCAGCCATTGTTTCCAACCTCCTCGATCTTCCTGAGTTGCCTGGAGCTCCTGCTACTCCTTCGTCTACTGCTATTTCTGAGGTTCTCGATCTTCCAGGGCCCCCTAAAATTTCTATTGATCTTCCTCCATCTGTTGCCTCAGAGCTTCTCGAGCTGCCTGGAGTGATTCTAGATCTAATTGCCGGTACTTAGGACCTATGTTCATAATTTGCTTGTTGTTGATTTTTTTTAAGAAAAGAACTTTGAAACCAGCTCTTTATAAGAAAATAAAGAAGTGTTTTTGTCTTGTTTGTGTCCTTATATTCTTTTGACTATTGTGGTGCTCTTGCATGGTGCCCTTGTATTCTTTTGACTGTTGTGGTGCTCTTGTATTCTTTTGATTGTTGTGTTCTTCCATTCTACCTATTCCCCTTTTCCCCTACTTCGAGGAGAACTTAGTTCTTTTTAAAGGGAATTTGCTAAGTTTGGATGAGTTGAATAGCTGAAGAGCTGAAGAACTATAGAGTTGAGTGGTTGAGGCCTTAACTTTGGAGGGCTCATTCCTATGAGCTGAGAAGCCTGTGAGCTGAAGTGTCTATCTTTATGAGCCGATGAACCTAATATTCCCTCGAGTTGTGGGGAGCTCAGCCTTGGCAAACCAATAGGTTTATTCTTGGAGAGCTCACCTTCATGAGCTAAAGAGTTCAGCCTACTTTTCACATGGGAGCTTTTTCCCTAGTTATTTCTGTCGCTTTACCTAAGCTCTGCTTATATTAGGCTGAAGAGCACATCCTCAGGCAGACCTGAGCTGCTTTTGTCTGAGCTAATCTTATCAAAGTTAAGCTACTTGTCTGAGCTCTATCTTATCAGAGCTGAGCTGCTTGTCTGAGCTGAGCTATTCTATCTAATCTGAGCTGAGCTGATCGTTATTTGTGCCCAACTACTTTCTTAAAATACCTCTACCATAATGATTATGGAAACGCCACATATTCATTTTCGTGCATTTTTTGCCCCTTAAAATTTGGGATTCCCTACTATTTTTGTAAGCTTTAGGACTCCTTATTGTCTACGAAATTTGGTGTTTCTTCTTCATTGTTCAACATTATTTCTGAGTTTTCCTTTTTTGCTTTCGGTTTACATGGCTCTCTCTCTTACTTCCTTGCTCAAACAGTGAGCCTAAGCTATGGTGAACATGGTGTGGTACTCATAGCTAGATGGAATTAAGAAGCGGTTCCTTCTACTTGCTGACTTACCCCTCTGAGTCCCTACTCCTAACGAGCCTTGCAATTATCGCCCCCACAAGAAACTTGCTTTTTCAAAGGCACTTTCGAGATGGGCCTTCGTCTACCCATCTATCCTTCCATTAGATGGATTCTAGCCTACATTGAGTTATGTCCCTCTTGTCTTTCTCTAGAAGGATGGGGTGCTATGATAAGCTTTTTTATTTTTTGGCATTTGCAAGGCAATGATGAGTTTCCTGTTGTTGCCGAGCTTCTCTACTTTTAGGAACTTGGACTACGACATGCCCCCTACGTTAGCCATTTTATATGGAGACGTCACTTTGACCCTCCAGTGGTTCTTGATTTCCTGAATTCTTCTGAAGGTTGGAATCAATGCTTTTGCTTCATTTTTGGGGACTCCTGGAGGTCTGCTGAGCAGTAATGCGCATGTTCCTGAGTTTCTCGCTCTTGGGGGCCTTCTTCTAGTAGAGGTAGAGTCCTAGAATCTGTTCTTCCATAATTTGTGAGGACTTTGATTGGTTCTAACTGTGTTGTTTATTTTGTGTAGATGCCCCCAGTTATTTGACCTTAGCTGAGATGGTAATAGTTAGTCAAGTGGCTCATGTTGAGCCTATTCTCTTTTTAGTGCTTGTTACTCCGCAGAACCTCTTTTGGTTTAGTGCTACTACTGCTACCCTGGATGTTACCTTACACCCTCTTTCCCCTAACCCTGAAGAGGATTCTTCTTCTGTAGAGTCAGAGGATAAGGTTGTTGCTACTTCTTCGAGGAAACACGGAAGGGGTAGTGCATCGTCGCAATTATCAGGCTCTTTTTTTGGTGAGATTGATTTTACAACCACGGAGCTAAATCTTGCTTTTGAGAATTCGAACCTCAAGGACCAGCTTTCTGAAATGAAGAGGGAATGGAACGAGCTGAAGGTAGAGAATGCTTGGCTGCGGTCTACAAATGCTCAACATGAGGAGGAAGTATCAAAGCTCAAGAGGGGGTCTGGGGGTGCTTAGGATGCCCTTTTTTTTTTTTTTGTTTTATCTGGCAAACTAATGAATAAAAGTTATTTTTTTCCACTCAATGCCTTGCTCTGTTACTTTTGATAACTGGAATGTTTAGGCATTCTTACAAGAATTCACTGAAAAAATTTCTTCAAATGTTTAGCTTTCCAAGAGTGAGGTAAGATTTTTCCCTCCTCCGTTTGCAACTCGTAATTCGCGGGTCTGATTATCTTCAAAATAATGTAAGGACCTTCCTAGTTGTGACCTAGATTTCCATGAGTGGGATCCTTTTTCGCAGGAAGGAGTTTTATGAGTATCAGATCTTTGATTTTAAAGCTCCTGTGTCTGACCGTCCTATTGTAGTATCTTGTTATTTTCCTTTGGTAACTCACGATACGATGCAAAGCCACATCCCTCTTTTTATCCAAGAGGTCGAGATTTAGTAGAAGTGACTTGTCATTATGCTCGGGCTCTAAGAACTCAGCCCTGGGGGATGGAATGGAGACCTCTACAAGTGCCACTACTTCGGTTCCAAATGCTAAAGCGAATGGTGTTTCCTAAGTCGTTAATCTGGCAGTGGTTCTATAAGCCCACAATACTTCTGCGATGTGTTCTACCCATTTCCCTTTCAGAGCTTCTTGCTTGGTATTCAAAGCTACTTTTTCGGTTTGGTCACTTCTACTCAGCTATTGGATTGAGGATAAGTTGGAGTTGAGAAGTAATTCTTTATTCTTAGCTCGGTATAGAACTTTTTGAACTTGGGATTATCAAATTGCTTCCCATTGTCGAAGGCAATTGCCCCAGGTATTCCAAACCTATAGATTATAGATTTTCAAGTGAAGTTTTGAACTTTTTGTTATGTGATTGTTGCCAAGGGCTCCACCTCTGCCCATTTGTGAAGTAATCCATCCCAATAATGACGAACTTGCAGTGTCCAGTACTAATGAGAAGGGGCCCAAGTATGTCCAAACCCCATTGTTGGAAAGGCCAATGGCTTACCACTGAGGTTAGGAGCTCTGGTGGACAATGAAAGACGTTGACGTGTACCTGGTAGACCTTACATCATTTGATTTCATCTATAGCGTCTTTGAGTATAGTGGGCCAGAAGTACCTTTCTTGCCAGAGCTCGAGCGTCGATATTGTTGTTGCAAATCTCCTCGTGGATTTTCCTGAGTATGTAATTAGCATCCTCGTCTCCTATGCATTTAAGGAGTGGTTTTGAAAAGTCTCACTTATACATGTTTCCTTGTAGGATTGCGAATCTGGATGACCTAGCTCTTAGCTTCGCGAGCTCTTTGGGATCTTCTGGCAAGGTTCCATTCTAAAGATATTCTCTGATTGGGTCCATCCAACTCGGTGAAGCCAATACAAGGAGTACCTTTTCATCTTCATGGTTAACAGATAGTTCAGCTAGGTGTTCAACTGGGATTAATCTATCCAAGTTCTCTTGGGGAGTTGTAGCAAGCCTTGTCAGAGCGTCCGCTCAGAAGTTCTCAGCTCTGAGGACATGCTCATTTTAACTTGCACGAACTTTTTAATCAATTCTTACACCTTTTTAAGGTACAAGATCATTCTTTTTCCCTTAGCCTCATAAGGTTCCTCAATCCTCTTTACTATAATCTGGGTGTCACTACAAATTTTGAGCTATTTTCCCTCCATTGAATGTGCCAAATTTATCCCAGTGATGACGACTTTGTACTCTACCTCATTGTTTGAAGCTTTGAATCCAAACTTGAGCACGTATTCGATGTCTATGTCGTTAGGGGAGGTCAAGATCAATCCTGCACCGCTTCCATAGGCGTTAACAACTCCATCCACTAAAAGCTTCCATGTAGGGAGGTTTGGTACTAGCTGGTTGGCTTTTGTGGATGTTTCTAGACCTGTGGTGAATTCTGCAATGAAATCTGCCAGTACTTGTCCTTTAACTACGGTCCTGGGTTTGTACCTAATATCGAATTCATTGAGTTCTATTGCCCATTTGAGCAACCTTCCAGAGGACTCTAGGTTATGCAACACTTGTCTCATCGGCTGGTCTGTAGGAATTTCAATGGTATGAGACTGGAAATAAGGCCTAGTCTCCTTGTAGCCATGACCAGAGCTAAGACTAGTTTCTCTATCTTCGGGTATCTTTCCTCCACGCCCCTCTTAGAGCTCTACTATAATAATAAACTGGCTGCTGAGCTCTATCTTGTTCTTTGACAAGTGCTACACTGGTTGAGAAGTCTAAAATAACAAGATATAGGGTTAGTACCTCTCCTTGCCTCGGGCTTACCAAAATTGGGTGCTAAGATAGTCCTTGAGGGCCTTGAATGCCTTCTCTCATTGCGTATTCCATTGGAAAGCTCTCTTTAGAATTCGAACGAAAGGTTGACATTTGTCGCTTGATCTGGACACAAAGCGACTCAAAACAACTATTCCTCCTGTTAGGCGTTGGACCTCTCTGGTGGTGGAGGGAGGCTGCATGTCTATTATCGCCTTAACTTTTTTTGAGTTTGCCTCGAACCTCTGTTGTTGACTATAAAGCCAAGGAATTTCCCGACTGAGACCTCAAAGGCGCACTTGGTTGGATTAAGCTTCATTTGGTATTTCTTGAGGATTTGAAAGGATTCCTAGAGGTGCCCGATATGGAGCTTGGCTCTTAAGGATTTCCTAAGCATGTCATCAATGTATATTTCCATTGATGACCCAATCTATTTTTAGAACATTCTGTTTACTAGACGTTGATATGTGGCTCCAGCGTTCTTCAATCCGAATGGCATGACTTGGTAACAGTATATTCCCTGCTCAGTTACAAATGACGTCTTTTCCTGGTCATTAGGGTCCATTCTGATTTGATTATACCCTAAGAAGGTGTCCATGAAGATAAAGAGCTAGTGTCCAGTCGTGGCATCTACGATCAAGTCTACCCAAGGTAGTGGGAAATTATCCTTAGGGCACACTCGATTCAGATTAGTGAAGTCAATGCAAAGGTGTCATTTGCTGTTGGTTTTCTTAACGAGGATCACATTAGCTAACTAGGTTGGGTAGTCTACCTCCCTGATATCTTTGGCGCGGAGAAGTTTGCTGACTTCTTCATTAATTGCCTTTTGGCCTTCTAGAGCAAAACTCCATTGTTTCTACTTGATGAGATTGCAGGATGGGTTCACGCTGAGCTTGTGCGTGATGATTGAGGGGTCAATTCTTTGCATATCTTCTTGCTTCTAAGCAAACACCCCCATATTCCTTCTAAGGAACTGAACAAAGAGGTCTCTAAGCTCTCTAGGTAGCTTCGACCCCACATATATCGTATACTTTGGCTCTTCATCGAGTTGGATGCTCTAGCTCTTCCGAGGGCGTAGGTCTTGAATCCAGCTCATCTCTCATGTCCAACCCATCCAGTTGGATGGTTTCAACATCCTTCCTTTTCATTGATGCCATGTAGCATTCCCTCGCCACTTGTTGGTCTCCTCATACTACTCCAATGTCATTTCCAGTGGAGAATTTTATAGTCAGGTGATATGTAGAGGGGATGGCTCTCATGGCATTGAGGGAAGGTCTTCCCAGTAGAACATTGAATGCTGAGGGGGCATTGACTACCAGGAACCTTACTGCGGTGGTGGATTGTCTAGGCGGGCTATCCATGGTGAGGATGAGTTGAATTGCCCCCAGGGGCAGTACTCTCTCTGCTGAGAATCCCAAAAGATGAGTTCTCACTGGCTCGACCTTGTCCTTGCCTATGTTTATTTTTTCAAAGGCGGATGCAAAGTTAATGTTAACAAAGCTCCCGTTGTCGATGAAGACCTGATGAACGGTCCTATTAGGAACGAAAGCTTTTACCACCAAGTGATCATCATGGGGGTGCTGGTACCCCTCCAGGTCTGCATATGAGAAAGTGGTGTCCATGTTCATTCGAGGTGCCTTGGTCACAATCTGCACCTCCAATATTTCCTCGGTCCTAACCTTGTGCATGTGGGCTTTTCTAGTTGAGCTAGTTTTCCCACCACCAGTAATCCTCCAAAAATCATCTTGATCTCTCCCACTGGTTGCTAGTGTTGTGTAGGAGTTTGCTGCTGAGGTGCTAGATGAGGGTGAGCTCTGTTCTGATTATCATGCTTCACAAAGCGGCGTAGCTGCCCTTGTTGGATCAAGAAATCAATTTTCTTTTTCAACTGGATGTAATCATTAGTGAGGTGTTCATGGTCTCTGTGTTACTCACAATACTTTGTCATATCTCTTTTTGTTAGGTCTTCTTACATCCGAGGTGGCCAACTCAGAATTTTCTTATTCTGTGCTTCATAAAGGATCTGGGATATCATAGCTGTGAGGGTAGTGTGTACTTTTCTACCTTAACCTCCGCCATACTAGCTTGTGGGTTTTTAGATATGGAGAACATTAAGTCCTTCGACTATACTCCTAACTCCGCGATGAAAGCAGTGATGATGAATTTTTCATCTAGAACGTCCATTTTCAGTGATTTTGAGTTTAACCTTTAAACATAAGACTGTAGGTTCTTGTTGGGTCCTTGTTTCACATTCACCAAATGGTGGCTCAATTCTTGATGGGTCTGAGCTCCTATGAAGTGTGACACAAAGGATATGGAGAGTTCTCTGAAAGAAGAGATGGACATTGGGGCTAGCCTGTTCAATCACGCTAAAGTTGAGCCCTTCAATGTGATGGTGAAGGCTCGGCATCGTATAGGGTCTTGATATTCATGAAACTCTATTTAGTTCTTGTAGGTGTTGAGGTGATCCATGAGATCTTTTATCCCATCAAAGGCCTCCATATGGGGCATTCTGAACTTCAGCAATGAATGGGGACTCAATCTTGCTGCACCAGGGCGTCCATGGTTATTGGGGTCTTACCTTTCACGGCCTCCTTCATCTGGCTGAGTTCTTGCTGGATGTCTCTGAAACGTTATTCCCAATATTGTTCTCTTCTTTTCTGCTGGAAAGAGAGAAATTTTTTTTATCAGTTCCCCCATTTTGACTATGTACTTCTTTTTTATCTTCATTCATGGGAGGTGGATGAAGAGC